TCTCTCTCTCCATATTTCTGTTTTTACTTCCACTCTCTCTCTCGCTCTCTCTCCTTTTCTCTTTCTCTCGTCCTCCTCCTAGTAAAAACCGAATCAATCTTGGAAAGAGAATACCACCTCTCTATCTCGTCCTCCTCCTCACCCTGCCTCTGGGTTAACGGATATATATCACTTCACTTCTCTATATTTGGTTCCTAGAAAGCTTGAGTCTCTCAAAACGCTTGTTGCTTACCCATTTTTCATTTTTACATTTTTCTTTTCATTTTTTTCTTTTTTTGGGGCTGTTTTTCCCCTGCTAGCCACTGCTTTTTCTTCCCCCTGTTCTCTTTTTCCTGAGGTGACCAGCTACAGGTGTGACACCTTAGCCTTTCATTTGAAGTGAGCCAGACAGAGAGGAGGAGGAGAACACGAGGAGAAAGACATCTTCAGCTCAAAACTTTCCTCCAAAATTGTCCCAAATTCAGGTATTAAGTCTTTATTATCTTTTCCTTGTGAGTCTGTACAACATTTATTTCTTCTTGTCATTATTCTACTCATTACTGAGCCCTGTGCCATTTTTCTTACTGTCCACTTTCACGCCTTTGATTGATTTGCTCCTGCTTCTTTGCTGAGACACAAACATTTCATCACATTTCTTTTATGGTATGGGTTTTCGCTGTGGGCTTATTTATTTATTCATTAAATCTCTGTTGGTGTTTCATTTATCATTTAGTAGCGTGCAACTCTTGCACCACAATCTCTCCAGCTAATATTGCCGTTTTGCACTTTTTCCAGCGCATCTCATTCCCTATAGACATGTACATATTATTCTGGTCCAAACTTTTCTTCAGAAATGGGACTAATTGCTAAAAAAGGCAGGCAGGAAGATGAGGAGAAACCAGACTCTAATATTGGAGCAGCTGGTGGGGGTGTTGTTGACATGGCAACAGAAGTACAGTTGACATAACGACCAGGGGGTAGGAAGGGAAGGGGGGTAGTCATAGCTGCGAGGGACATGGATATGTATGGGTAGCATGGGCAGGCAGTATGTGGGACGCAGCGAGTTGCACTAATGGTTTAGCGTCTCTTAAGAGACTCCTGTCTCAGCATGTGAATTAACCTCCCTGTCTCCTTCATTATATCTCTTCTTTCTCTTTCAATCTCTACCTGCCACTTTCCCTGTGCTCCCTCTTTCGCGCTGCACTTCCGGCCCATTCATCCCTTCTCGATCTTTCTCCTCATCGCGTCACTTTTTCACCGCTCCCTACCCTACATCCCATGTGCCATTAATACAACTTCTGACCCATTACACTTTTCATCCATCGTCCTCCTCCCGCTCCTCCTCCTTGTCCTTGCTTCCTCCTCTCCGCCCTCTCCTCTGTTCTATTCAAGGTCTTCTGCTCAAAGCAAAGCCTTCGTTACTAACACTCATCATCCAATCCCCCTTACCTTTTCATCTTTTTACCGCATCCTCCAGGCATCATGTCTACCCCAGTCTCCCCGTCCCCCTCGCTCTCCCCACTGACACTGGCCTCCCCTACATCTGCAACCTCCCCCGGTGCCTCCCCTCTGCCCTCGCCTCTCTCCCCTCCACCCAGGGTGCCCGTGTTTCAGAGGAAGGGAGCGCTCAAACACAAAAGGATTGTCGAAGTGAAAGACCACCAGTTTACAGCACGCTTCTTCAAACAGCCCACCTTCTGCAGTCATTGCACCGACTTCATATGGTAACACACGTACACACAGACTCACACACAGCTACACAGAAACCACCCCAACTGTTCAAACACCACCTCCTCAGGCATCCCACCACTCCACGTAGTGCTGACTTTCACTGCTTTTTTTTTCTTTTCTCTTTCTTTCACCCTTTCCAGCTGCCTGCTGGAGAGACTGCCCACACTGACCTGCTCTGATCACATAACCTCACCTCCACATTGCCGCCTACATAATCCAGGCGTTACTTTAGGAACTCACACACGCCGATGCATTGATATATATACTGAAAAAACACACACAAACAAGAACTTAATTAGAATATGAACTTTAGCCTGACTGCATTAAAACAGACAGGCACCAACCGTGAAGTAATTTAATTTTTTAGTAATAATTAACTTTCTTTTTTTAAAGGGGTACTCTTTAGTTTCATAAATCTGAAGGACTCATAAGGGATGGACTGAAGAATCTGAGATATCCACAATAATAATGCAGGAGTAGAAAACATTCAGTCTGAAATTCAGACTGAGACTTCAAAAGGGTTAATGTTTCAGACTTCTGCAGTCTCCTCCTGAGAGGCAAAACACATCATAGGATTGTTTTCACAGACTTAGTAGTATGCTTTTTAATGAGTAAACTAAACCAAGCAGTAAAATACAGTAAAAAGCAGTAAAATACAGTAAAAAGCAGTAAAAATTCTAAAATGCAGTCGGTTTGGCACTGATAGAGTTTTACCATGTTTACTATCTGCTGTAATTGCTCCAGATGGTGCTGGACTGCATTTGGAGATTTGAGATTAATGTTACAGAAACTCTGACATTAATCTCAGAAACACCTAAATCCCAAACTGGGATTTGGTGTAAGTATTTAAGGTTTTAAGTATCTAGAAGTACATATAAGTATTTACAGGTGACTTTAATAACTTAAAATATTAGGTTTTTTTTTTTAAAGGTAATCTAAGAGTAAAATAACATACCAGTGCTTATCATCATTTATAACATTTATGCGCGTATACATGAATTTAGAATCAGATTTGACTTCTTTATGATCAGACGACACCCTGTGAGCGTGACCACTGAAGGCGCAGTAGTCTGTGTTTATCGTTGTGAGTGTAAGGGGCTGTGTGTTTGAACATATGGTGGGAGTGTATGTTGGATGCAGGGCGCTGTACGTGCCAGCAGCCTCTGGGTATCTTTCAGGACATTTCTCCAACTGGCTGCTGTCTTGGCAGTGGTAGCAGCTCTTAGATGAGGTTGAAAACTCTCTTATTTTGCACAAGATGTCAGAGCAGACGCTTTCAATCACGGTGTTAGAGGCCCCGGGGAGATTGTTAGATTAATTAAAGACTAAGGCAAGATTGTTCTAATTTGTAAATGTAAATATCTTGTTTATTAAGTCAAGGTCTTAAAGAGGAGTGGGTTGTACCTGTTTTGGCTCCTTTGGGTAATAACTAAGCTAAACTGTCTGAAAACATTAAAAAAGGAAAATTGCTTCGTGTCACAGTCCAGTCTTAGCATACTAACAAGGATCATAGTTTTTAAAATATTTGTTATGATACTTAAACCTTTTAACATCTACCAAGCTGCTGGTCACCTGCTTACTGTTAGGGTCAGATGGTATTATCCATATACTAAACAAGTGGATTATTTAAAGAAACATTGCATATATAGTGTCATTTTGGTCCTGTGTTTATTTTTTGTTTTGTTTTTTATTTCCTTTACAAGCTTTTCCACTTGTGTGTGCCAAGTGGGACAAAAAAACCCTATCTATAAATAGACTGGATCCTAACCTAATCCTTATCCTAACCAGAGCACCTGGTGGATGTTAGGAGGCTGAAGAAGGCTGAATTGTGATTTGGCATAGATGGAGATCAGATTTGCTGGTCATAACATCACCATCAAGTGTCTCAATTAGCCATAATAGTGAGCCACATCAGAATGGTCTGAAATTAAAGCATCCGTATTGTCAAGGTAGAGACAAGTCTCCAGTGTGTCACAGAGCTAACAACAGGACACACAATTTCATGCTCACATTAGCATCTGGAGCCAAATTAGAATCACCGGTTAACCTAACATGCATGTCTTTGGGCTGTGGGAGGAAGCCAGCAAACTTGGAAAGAATCCACACAGGCACATGCATCCTCACAGAAAGGCCCCAGCCAGTCATCGGGTTCAATCTCGGGCACTTCTTGCTGTGAGATAACAGTGCTAACCACTGCACCGCTGTGCCACCAACTGCAGCATCCATCCATCTAGTTATCCAATAAGGGATTGCAGTTGGGCTGGAGCCTATCCAAGCTGTCATAGGGCGGGAGTTGGGGGGGTACACCCTGGACAGCTCGCCAATCTATTGCCGGGCTCACACAGAGAGGCAGACAACAATTCACGCTCACAGTCACACCTATGGCCAATTTAGAATTACCAGTTAACACCTAACAAGCATGTCTTTGGACTGTGCCAGAGTACCCGAAGGGAACCCATGCGAGCACGGGGAGAACATGCAAACTCCACCCATAAAGGCCCCAGCCGGCTGATGGATTCGAATCCAGGACCTGCTCGCTGTGAGGGGACGGTGCTAATTACCATCAGAGAGAGTGTCATAGATTCTCTATCTGCAGCAGCAAAATTCATTTGTTTATTATGTGTTTGTTCTATTGTCACATGTCAAAGTGTGTTTTTTGATGAAGAGCTTTCTCAAAAAAATGCTCCAAGAGGGGTTAGTCTGATGTTTTTATAGAAGCATTTTATTCAATTGCATGTGTTTGGTAGATTTTTTTCACATCATTAATTCAAAATGCAGTTATCCCCTACATTAAATTCTCTGTGATATCTGGCCAGAAAGCAGCTCTGTGAATCCTCACCATATCTGGTTCTCTAATGCTCTCTGCTGGTCAAAAAGCAGAACTGGTCGGATGCATTTGGTGCTGCAGACACGGACTTCTGTTGAGTGCCTATCAAGGATCAGATTACCCTCAGCAACCCTTTCTTTAATTATTACTCAGCCAGATGGTGAACTGATTGTAGATCAGTGATTATGGTCAGTTTCCTATGAACCCCTGAGGCTCTCCGGTATGACTGTAGAGGAGCTGTCGAGGTCTCTCGTTTGCCTGCCTTTCTAAGTCTTCTAATCAAAACTCGATCCACAACAGGCAAGCTGCTGAGTGGACTGTTTAGTCAATCAATGACTTAATTATTCAATTAAAGCTTTAAGGAGACTATGGAAGCTAGCCAACATTGCAGAAGCATTGTATTGGTGTAAGTGTTTGACCTGGTCAGCGGTGAGGCTTTGAAAAGAAAAGCACTCAAACTTCACACATAATGACTTAGTGTATCAAGTTGTTGGTGTTTTTTGTCTTTTTATGAGACAATTTGTTCTCCACTAGAGTCTGCATTCCTGTCTTTATACAGTGCAGAGTAACGCAACAGCAATATCTCATTCTCCAAAGCTAAATATTTCACCTTAAGGAGGACTGCAGAAAATTGTTTTTGTATCTTAATCCATGTGTCTTTTTCACACAGGGGCATTGGGAAACAGGGATTCCAATGTCAAGGTAGAGATAAACCTAGCATTATTGCCTTTCCTTGCAGCGTTAATCTTCTCTGATGTATTTTTTGTCCTGCAAAGCAGATTCATTCTGAAATGTTTGCTTTCTCTAGTTTGCAGTTTTGTGGTCCACAAAAGATGTCACGAGTTTGTGACCTTCACGTGCCCCGGCTCTGTGACCGCCCCCAGACCAGATGTGAGCAGACATATCTTTTCCCTTCTTATTTTCGGTTTTTGTGAAGATTTGCATCGTCATCATCATTTTTCAACATCCTTTGATGACAGTAGCATGTGTGCGTGAGTCAGCCATCAGTCCGTGCATCTTTCTCATCATGCAGCCTGTTTCCATCCATGACGTCTGCACTCATGTCGTGCAGTCCTAGAAGGCATCTGAAATGCTGGGAGTGGGAGATAGGGTGTGGGGGAGACACAGGTGGAGGGCAGGATGGACTGATAAGAGTGAGAATTAGAGGGGGGAGAAAGAGAGCGAGAGCCACAGACTGCTCAGTCTTCTTCTGTGTGGCATTTTGAGGATTTCAGGGAGATTTGTCTTTCACTCACATTTTTTTTCTACCAGCTAAATAAACTGCCTGAGAATTGAGGTCAATGAGAAAGTGTGTGTGTGTGTGTGTGTGTGTGTGTGTGTGTGTGTGTGTGTGTGTGAGAGAGATCGAAAATGGATGAGACAGTGAAAGAACACACAGAGGGAAAGAGAAGAAACAGGGTGACAGTTTTTAAATAGCGACTCAGTGCGACAAGGGAGGGAAAACAGTTTGGGAGAAGGTGGTGTATGAAGCGTGGCGGTGGGGTGGTCTGATGAGCTGAAGAGAGATAAAAATGATTCATCCCTCTGTGCACAGTATATACACGCTCACACACACGCAGACACTGTGTGTCCTCTCCGAGTGGAGAGATCTAATTGGCTTGTCCACGAATGCCCCACTCATCTTCTCTCTGCTAATCACGCTCTGCACGTGTGTGTCTGTGTGTGTGTTCCACAATCATCGTATGTATGTGTGTGTGAGAGAGAACGAGTTCTCAGCGCAGATTGTTTTTCTGTTTTATTTCAGGACCTGAAGAGTCGACACACATTTAAGATCCACACGTACTCCAGCCCTACATTTTGTGACCACTGTGGCTCGTTGCTGTATGGCCTCATACACCAGGGCATGAAATGTACCAGTGAGTTTCACTCCACTCTATGAGATACATAAATCTACGTGCTTCGAGCCTTTATTAGCTATTATGCTCAGATGAATATCACTCCACATATGCACATTGCTGAAACTCACATCTGGAGAAGACTTCCAGTTATTATTATCATTAATCTTTTTTTCTTTTCTTTTTTTTTTTTGGCTAAGATAAAGGAATAGTTAGTCACTAAAAAAAGAAAAGAAAAAGTGCTTGTTCACTTTCTTGCTGAGAATTAGATGAAGAGTTTGGAAACTAGTGGAGAGTCCAGGAGGCTTCTATACCCCGTGAAGATTGTCTGGCACATACCAACCAATAATTTCAGAACTTGCTCACATAAATGTTCTTGTTTTTTGAAAGCTAGTGAAGCCCACAACCACTATTCCTCATCTCATCTTTTTAATTATTATGCTTAATAAAGCTAGTGGATTTAGACTGATTACAACTAATTATTCCACACGTATCCAGTGCATGTCTGTGTTCACACTTTGTCTTTTGTGCGTCTTTGTGTGGTGAGGCTGTGACATGAACGTCCATCGGCGATGCGAGACCAGCGTCCCCAGTCTGTGTGGCCAGGATCACACAGAGAAGAGAGGGAGAATCCATCTGACCATCAGAGGAGAAAAGGAGGACGTCTTTGTCACAGGTGGGAGGACCCGCTGGATTCAACCAATTTAAACAAAAAGCAGGCTTCTGCAGGAAATGTAAGGTTTCTCTTCTTTCCTTTTATTGTTTCACTGCTGTTTCAGTGCGGGAGGCTCGTAACTTGATGCCCATGGACCCAAATGGCTTGTCAGACCCGTATGTTAAACTGAAATTGATTCCAGACCCAAAGAGCCACAGCAAACAGAAGACTAAGACCATCCGCTCAACACTCAATCCCGTCTGGAATGAGAGCTTCACCTTGTGAGTCCTTGCAAACTTTAGGGTGGAAAATTTACAGGGTTCTGCCACAAACGTTGCTATATGTAAAATCGGATTACTCAGCGACGTTAACCTTTACTTTCTTATAGGTGCGTGTTTGATATCCAGGGGAAATAAGACATTTCAGCAAAGGTCACACTGAAAAGGGATGATTTCGTTCTATGCTTTGTGTTTCATCATGTATCAAATTGTCACAAGTGTGTGTTTGACTCCTCAGCTCCGTGCGTGGTCACCAGTGGGACAGGCGTCTGTCTGTGGAGATATGGGACTGGGACCGGACGTCTAGGAACGATTTCATGGGAGCGCTGTCGTTTGGCGTGAGTGAGATCTTCAGGCGTCCAATCAGTGGTTGGTTCAAACTGCTGGCCCAAGATGAGGGAGAGTACTACAACATTCCTGTGCCAGACCCGGACCTGCAGGTAGGCAGCAGGCTGCTTTATATGGACATAAAGCCATCAGATGGGCTCAAGGTGAACAAAAAGCAAGTGACGGGATATTTATACCTGTATTCACCAGGAAGTGGAGCAACCCTTTATTTTGTGCCATGCCTTTGACCATTCATCCTTAGACCTTGGCATAGCTTTTATCAGCTTATAATTACCTACATCTAACAAACAGCAGCTGCCACAGCTCATACTGGGTCAGCGTCTGTCCTGCTGAACTATCCCGTTTCCTACAGTTCTATCTAAGGAAGAAAAAAAAAACTTGGAAGATTAATGCCGGTGTTATTGCTAAATAATTAGATAATAAATTATACTGAGTGCCCTTTCTTCTCTGTTGCACTCTGCATCCACCAGGGTGCAGAATTGTGCTGCCTGACTGCAGTCCAAAGCTGGGGGGTAGGAGGGAGTTTGAGGTTTGTCTTGGGTTCCTGTTTTATGGATCTGTGTGGGTGTGTGTCGTTTATCTCTCGAACATCCCATTTTATTTCTCCAGGAGCCTCAGCCAGATGCTACTACACCTTCTTTGCCTCAAGCGATGCCTTCCCCGCTGTCTGAACCATTTCCCGTGGCCCTGTCCCCGACCCTCATTCCCTCCTGTCCCCCTGTCCACACTCCGGGCCCTGGCAAAGTTAAAATGGGCATCCACGATTTCAACTTCCTCATGGTTCTTGGAAAAGGCAGCTTTGGCAAGGTAAACGAAATGCCATCTTTTCTTTTGTACACACAATCATCACCTCTTATCCAGCAACTGTGAATGATATCAAAGAGACCATTCATGCTGGAAACAACAAAGATTATTCCTGGGTTTAAATCCTTTCTTCTATCGATGGACTTGACCTTCAAGTGGCATTTCATGCAGCAGCTCCCAGGCACAGGAAACCAGAATTTCTTTGAAAAAAATAATAAATTACCCTTTCTTACGAACATACTCACTGTCTTTACTTCTGCTGCCAAATGATTCATTTAACCCTTTGCTGCTTTTGTGTTGTCAGCAGTCGTGAGCTTCCCACATGCTACACAGGCAGTCATCCTGGAGGTGTTCATTTCAAGGGAGCCTTTGCTCTCCATTTTCTCTTTAATTCCCCAGTAGATGAGACATAATGAAGAGAGAGGAGTTTTGAGTCCTTCTTCCTCTTCTGAAATCCCCCTGTGCTGTTTCATAACTGTCAGAGGAGAGTCTACAGAGGACAGGAGAAATAGACTCGACTTACGTAAGATGTGAGGAGAGAGGAAAAAAAAAAAAAGGACCCAAGAAAGGAGAGACAGACCCCGGGGCTGCTGAGTGAGGGAAAGTGAGAAGGAGACAGACAGAGATAGAGGGAAGAGAGAAGGATTACTGTGCTGCAGAAAGTGACAAAATGACCAAAAAGGAAATGGGATAACAAGAGCGGCAAATAGAAAAAGTACATGCTATTAAGATTTGTAATATTCTGCAGGGTGATGAGTCCTATTTTTATGTGAGTTGGTTTAAAACCACGACGCAGAGCAGGAGACACGATCACAGATGGTAGGATTTCTCCTGCTGACTGGCAGTTCATCAATAGCCCTGCACACACACACACACAGAGGGAGTGATCTTAGTGTAGTCGCACTGTTTTATATATACATTTTTAAAAACGGTGTAATTTTCAGTGCTATTCACCTCCATTTGAAAGTAAAATGAGATCCTTAATTTCCACTCGCCTCTATTACAGCTCAGCACTGAGGGCTGATCATTTCTAACAGTGTTGTTGTCAGCATTTTCCATATTTATTGACCATATTTATCTCAGTGAAACCTGGATCACGTGGCACTCATTGTGGAAAATTATAACATCATTAGCACTCAGAGCTACCCACGAGCAGCCAGTTTAATAGGAGTGAGAAAATGTGTTTTTAATGTCTGATTAAAACACGAGAGCAAGCTTTTAGGGCTTTCCCTGTCCACTTGAGACATTAATGTCTCGAAACCCTCAGGCCTGTTTCAACTTTAATTAAACTTTACATTGAGTTATTTCATCATACATGTACATTACCAAACTTGCTGTTATCCATTCTGAAGTTATAACTTTTTCTTTTCCTTTTGCACTATATATGCCTTTTATTCATTTTACACGGGCGCTGGTTTATTTAAACAGTGGAACTAGTTTTCTCCTGCGACCAGTGCACCTCATCACTGCTAACACAATAACCTAAAAAACACTCAGACCTGACTGCAGTACAGCACGTCACATGCATGGCTGTCTTTGGAGCGAGAAGAGTTGCATTGGGGATTTTTTTTTTTAAGTCTGAGAGGACTTTATGCCAAAGTTATAGTCATTTTTTTAAAGCTGCTCCTGGTTTGCTGCTGTTGTGTTATCTGTTCAGAAATGTTCAAAGGTGACTTTGGAATTTTGGGGAAATTGTGTTTTCTCGACTCTCTAACATTTCAACCCGAAAGCCAGTCCTGTGTTTTCTGTAAACATTTTGTTTATTTATGGGTTTTGAAGACATACGGTAGCTGCTTTGCAGACTTTTGGGATTCACGCTTGTCTCCTTGTTTCTTCAGAAACTTTCTCTTCTCTTCCCGCTCCTGCACAGGTGCTGCTGGCAGAGGAGCGAGGCAGCGAGCGTCTGTTTGCCATAAAAGTGCTGAAGAAAGACGTTCTCTTCCAGGACGAGGACACGGAGAGCGCTCTAGTAGAGAGGAGGGTTCTGGCGCTCCTTTCTCGTCCTCACTTCCTCACGTCCCTCTACTGCGCCTTCCAGACTGAGGTGTGTGGGTATCTGGGTTCCCAAATGATCTGTCTAAATTTCATTAAATTGGCCATAAAGCTGCCTGACACTTTGGCTGCATCGTCCTCCCAGGAGTTGTTTCGGTCCAGGTTGGGCGAATTCCGATTAATAAATGAAATAATTAGCTTGCTTTCTTTAACAAGGTCCTCGGTCCTGAAGGAGGTATTTTAACAGATTGCTTTTTAATTTGGACAAGAGGTGCTTATTCATGAGGAGCTTGCGCATGTGTGTGTGTGTTTTTGCTTCTGCAGGACCGACTGTATTACGTGATGGAATATGTCAACGGAGGAGACCTGATGTTTCACATTCAGATAGTTGGGAAGTTCAAAGAGCCTCACGCAGCGTATGTAGTCAAAAAGCTCCTTTAATCACCGTCCTTATCTACACAAAGTCTCATTTCCTGCCTTTTTGTTCTGTGCTCTCTTACATACACACTCGTCTCTTAGCTTTGTTCATTATACCTGGTGACTCATAAAAAGTCATCAACTCAAGTGCCAGCCCTTTTCTCTTCCCCGACTTTCTCCTCCCACTAATCTTATCGTATCATCTACATTCTCCCTCCCCCTGGCTGTTCTTCTAATCAATAATCTTTGATCAATCATCTAAAACAAATTTTTGCCCTGTTGCTCATTTCCATCTCTCTTTCTTCATTTTCCTGCCTTTCATCTCTTTGGTTGCTTCTCCCTTTCATCACCCTCTCCAGTGCCATTCCCTCTCTCCTAACCTCTTGTCATCATCCTCTTTTGAATTAGCTGATTCTCTGTCCCTCCTTCTCCTCCTCCTCTCTCCCTCCAGGTTTTATGCGGCAGAGATAGCGGTCGGCCTCTTCTTCCTCCACAGCAAAGGCATCATCTACAGGTAAAGAAGTGGGCTGCTTCATAACGTGGCCTGGTTTGCCCGTGTTCACTTCAGTCTGCGTTCGGCACAGACACGACACAGATTTATCATGTCTCTTGTAGCTAATGACTGTTATAAAGATGGTATCTATCAAAGTGATTCATACCTGTGTGGCGTTTCTCCCCTCTCAGGGATCTAAAGCTGGATAATGTGCTGCTCGACAGCGAGGGCCACATAAAGATAGCAGACTTTGGGATGTGCAGGGAGGGCATGTTCGAGGGCGACACCACACGTACCTTCTGCGGCACTCCTGACTACATCGCCCCTGAGGTACCGTGACCGCTGCCCTCACGCTATTGTCCACAGTCACTCCTGATATTTCCCTCATTTGTTCCTTATTTTCCCTCATTTTCCCTCATTTCACCCCTCTTAGTTTGCTTGACCTGTTCTGCATTGCCGCGAGACGCCGAGTTGCTTCGCTGCAGCTCCCCCTCGTCTCTTCTGTCCTCTCTGACCTTGTCAGCAGTTTGTGAATAATTAACTTCACATGATTCAGTAAGCAGTGGTGTGTGATTGTACTATGAGAGTGTTGCATAGAAGTCACTACTGTCCTTCAGAGACATTGTTTTACGAGCATAGCGCCGCTTTCTCACAGCCGCTGCCAGGTTTAACTTGCATGTAAAGTCTTTATTTCAAAATAGTTAAACAAACCACTACAATGGGTAGCTTGCCCTTGCTCATACCCGGCAGTTATACATTTTGCCAACTTTACTTTTTAGTATATTTCCAGAAAATGTAGTGAGGTTTATTTCATGTTATTATGGGATTTCAGCAGTCTGTAAAATTAAGTAGGTTTTTATTTAAAGTTATGGTTAATGAGCTGAAGGAAGCAAACAAAGAAGTGTTTGTGTTGAGCTGCGGTGGAGCACTTAAAAAATGATTCTTTGCCCTCATAAACATGAAAGATGAAAGCTTGTTAAGTAATGAATAATTAAGGAAAATATCCTTGGTATAAAATGAGTGTATACCAATAAAATACATTTCTTTTGACCAGATTCCATTGAAGTTAATGTTCCACATTGTACCTATGCAATAGTATTACATTGAGAATTTACATGTAATCACATTACTTCAAGTCAGCAGTTTATTTTTCTGAATGATAGGAAAAGGGTGGCAAAAAGCTCGGCTATTATCTGTATTTTTTTTTTAAAGTAGAAAAATCCGTTTCATCGGTCAGTATAAATTTGTAACAAAGAAATCCTGTTTCAGTTTTCATGTGCGCCACTGTCTGTGGTTGAAGACGGAGCTGAAATTGTGCGAACATAATGAGATGAAGCACCAAAAGACTAAAAGGGATGTCACTAATGTCAGTGCAAATATCAGCCGCAGTGAAATAATGAAAAAGCGAAGGTGGTTTTGCTTGACGTTCTTTTGATATGCAAACCATAACTGTCTGCCTGTATAATGTTTACCTTACAAATTGTTGGAAATGCATATGTGCGCCTTACCGTGTGAAGTGATCTTAAACAATTTACTTCAGAGAAGGCGTGAAGGCGCATCTCGGTCGGTGGACTCGTAGCTGAGTGATACGGGGGGGGGAGAGAAAGTGGGGAAGCGACTGTTGTGTGCGTCTTTGATATTGTAAACCTTGCTGTGGAACCCCTGGGTATTGACTCTGTTATGTAAACACCCATTGATTCTCCTGTGTCTGCCATTTTGGAAGAGTTGCAATATATTTCCCCAGAGGCTGGGGATTGTTCCCTCGTGCCCCTCTGCACAGCACACCACCACCTCCCCCTCCTGGCATCCACACACACGCGCGCACGTATCGGGGAAACAAACAAACAAACAAACACACAAGCTTGTGAACACAAGTGCAAATCCAAATCCGTGTGTTGATTATTTCTGAGCTCATTCACACATGAACCCTCCCTTACGCCGCACTTTATCCTTTCGCTTCTCTCTGTTTTTCACCCCTGCTGTTTCTTGTAGCTGCATATCATCCAAGCAGCCAGCTGCCTCTCTCTTCCTATCGCTGCACTGCCATTCTTCCCCATTTATATCTTCTCATACATTCTCCATCCTTTTTCCCTCCCCCAGATTGTGGCCTATCAGCCCTATAATAAAGCAGTGGACTGGTGGTCTTATGGAGTGCTGCTGTATGAAATGCTGGCAGGACAGGTAACACTCAGCTTAATCCTAACAATAGCGTGCACAGACACTTTAAGCCCCCAGTACTCGTCCTTTGTAATCACTTCAAAAGACTTTCAAAGAACTTTAATTTCATTATATTCGTTATCAATTTGCCCACAGGTCTGTGCTTAAACTCTTCCGCTCTCTCCCTCACTCTCTTTTCCTTTAAGCCGCCATTTGATGGCATTGACGAGGAGGAGCTGTTTCAGTCCATCATGGAGCAGAGTGTCTCATACCCAAAAAGTCTCTCTCGGGAGGCTGTAGCTATCTGCAAGGGAGTGAGTTCAATCCTCGTTTCTCATATTAACTTTTAACACACGGGCAATTAAGATAAAAGTTCATGTACTGTAAATCAGGAAATGAAATAACTCTTTACTCGTGCAAGATTGTATTCGGTCGCCTAAAGGAATAGTTTTTGGAACTATGTTAATTTGCTTCTTTACAAAGAGCTGGACCGACACCACTTTTACAACTGCCTGTTAGATATCAGGCTGGAGGCAACCAACTTTACTCTTCAGCGCAAAACTTTTTATTTTTACACTACAGTGTTTTTATCCATGTTTTGGACAGTTGAGTTTTATTACTCACAAATAGTGAGTAAGAACTGTTTTGTTTTTTTCCCGGTTGTTTATGCATAGCTAAGTGGCTGCTGGCTGTAGCTTCATAATTGGTGTACAGATAGCAGAATCTTAATGATCTTCATCTCTCTGCAAGAAGCAAACAAGCATAATTCCCAAAAAATGTCAAGGTTTTTCAAAGTGATAGTGCAATAAAAATCCATTCGTTGGCAAGACAACAAAGGAATTGGATTACAGTACATGATTCCAAAATAAAGCAAAGCTTATCATGCACACCGACTGCTCTAACCGAGGCAGATCATAAACAGAAGTCATTTATTGTATCACATTATTATCCCAGCCTAGTCGCTTTTTCTCACATTTCTCCCCTCATTTCCTCCTCTCTTGACTCAGCTCCTGACAAAGCACCCGGCCAAGCGCCTGGGTGAAGGAGAAGATGCAGAGAGGGAGATCAGAGAGCATCCGTTCTTCCGCTGGATTGACTGGGACCGTCTGGAGAGACTGGAAATCCCGCCACCTTTCAAACCCAGAACTGTCAGTTCAGTTAAACAGATGAACCACATGTTCCTTCTTTCTTCCTCCTCCTCCTCTCTTTCTTCTCTTCTCTGCCTCTCTGAGGACACTTATAGGGAATTGGAGCTGTCACTTTCTTCCATCTGTCTCCTTTTTCTCTGACTCCCACATTGTCCCTCGTTTCCCTGCATGTTTCCTCCACATTTGCCTTGGCCTTTTCATTCCCTCTTCCTCTCTCTGTCTCTTCCTCTCTCCCCTTCACATCCCCTCTATTTCCTCATTTATCACCTCTTTGGGTTCTTAGATAGGCTTTAAGAGCTCAGGAACAGACAGTTCAGCCATAACAGACAAGACCTTCTGACCTTGGGGTCTTGCCTACTCCTCCCATATGCAAATGTATGTCATCATTAGCCTGCCACTTGCCAAAGTGCCGGCGCACTGGCCGTTTGTGAGGTGTGCCTTGAGTGAGCCGAGTATGCTCAGGGGTTAGAGGCCAGGCCCATTAGCCTAATGAGATTCATATCATTCGGCAGAATGGCTGTCATATGCTGTTAGGCATCTGGGGAGGATATGTGATCAGCTTTCTTCCTGTGTGCTTCTGTAGTGAGATAAAAGGAGGTCTCAGTGAGGAAAAAACGTGGGGGTGGATTCTTTTTATAGTTTAACATTTTTAATAAACTATTTTTGTTCCGGGGGGAGGGATTTTGTAAAGTTTATTGTGGATGCAATATCATGCATGCATGAAGATGTGCCCTAATCTCAGTCTTGTGTGTACATACCTTCTCTTCTTCTTCATCGCCAGGGTGGGAAAAAAGGTGAGAACTTTGACAAGTTCTTCACAGCTGCTCAAACGGCGCTCACCCCCTCGGACCCGGATATACTCGCAGCCATGAACCAGGAAGACTTCGAAGGCTTCTCCTTCATCAACCCAGACTTTGCTCCGTCACCGCTCACCGCTGTTTGAAAACGGCTCCCAGATCTGCTCCAGCCGCCGTTCCAAGTCTAGCCAGATGATCCTGTTATCCTTCCGATTGTAGTTTTATAGCAGAGAATTTGAACGTGAGAGCTAGCAGCGAGTATTACACCTCTCATAACCAAATTCAGACGTTTACATGAAAATGCCAAGACACCTCGATTTTCGGGCACTCTCTTTGATGCATGTCTATTAACTCACTCATCACAGAATGTGTATCAACACTGCAAACATAGTCAGAACTATGGACTGCCATCTTAGACATTTTTTTATAAGACTTAACTTGATCTAAAGGTACTGTAGTATGAACGTGAGAAAGATAATCTCTATGCATGCAGATAGTTTTTATAGCACTAGACTATCCAAGGCAGATACTTTACTTTCCTTTCCTTTAAGTAAAGTAGTCATATGTTGTGCACACGTGTAATTTACCAGTTATATTTCACCAGTCAGGGTTTCATTCATGCAGCTACAATGACCACACAGTATGTAAAAGCAGGACATCTCACCATTTTGATGCCAATTCCACCTTAGCACTTTGTATTGTCCATTGCAAGTACTCAGCATCAACAGCACTTAAATGTTTCTTTCTGACTACCTACAGTATCTCACTCTGGGTTTTTTTGTGCTCTCTATTTTGGATAAATGACATGTTGACTATGAAGCAAATTGAGCGGGGAGCCATTTTTAGATATTTATTTATTTTATAAGAGAGGCGTCCTGTGGAAGCGCTTAGTCAGACTCCTCTGACCTGGCTCGACCCCAAGGTTTAATGACTTCAGATGACCCACTGAGATGTTTAAACAATGCAGTTATCACAATGTGACAGTTAAGGTGGACCACAGCTCTGCTCCACCCACCCAGGCTCACACTGTGTGGTGTGTAATGTCACTGGAAGGGAGTCCTCATTTGACATTCACAGTTTATCTGCATTATTATTATTATTTTTAATTCTTGAGCACGCTATGGAATATGGCCTATCTGCATTGCAACTACAAATATCCTATTACTCCAAGTAAACATTACAGTTTTATCAATAAAAGCCTCTTTTTAATGTCTTTCCCAGACGAGAGGCTTGTTAGCTTGCACAGGTACATATACTTATGATTTTAATGGTGTATGCCGTAAAGCTTTTTGCTGTGTAATGATGTGCTCACAGTATTGATTAGGAGTAATTAAAAGTGAGGCTCACTGGGACTGTTCAATACATGGAAAAATAACAGCAGTGCTGTCATTAAGCCCTATCTGAGCAGAGCAGGTGGCTGCAAACTTGCTGTGCAAAAATCTCATCCCCGTGCTCTTATCTAATGAACCAGCTGGTCATTTTACACATAAATATGCTTTATTTCTTTGATTCTTTTTTTCATGTACAGTTTTGCTTTACATCTGTTTGCCTGTTATTTTAGATCCGATTGAGCCGAAGTCAGATGTCAGTGCACACAATCCCTCAGTACGATAATTGCAATAGATGATGATCAATAGTGCAATAGATCATTGATAGATCGTGTATCTGATAGGTTTTGTTTTTATGTGCTGGAAAAAGAAAATAAAGGTGATGGGAAAAAATGATGAAACAGCACCAGTGAAGTGTCTCTTTCTGTGATGGCGTGTGAAGCTGCTGACAAACAAACACGCACGGCCTCTCGCTTTGTCTTCACCACGAGCCTGCCTCCCTGTCACGCTCCCTCCACCCCCCCTCCTCCCCGCACTTTCACACATACTCACGCTCAAAAGTGCAATCCCTGGCATGTGAACACACTCACGCACGGAGAAGATGCTGACCCCTCTGTTCAGTGGGCTACTGTAGCTGTTGAACCAGCAAAAACACCTCTCAGGCATCTCCCTCCGTGCCCTCCTCCTCTGAAGCAGCCCCCCCCCCGGCCCCTCCAGCATCACCATGATGGGACTAATATCCCTGTGGAGATCTGAGTTATAACAAGTTGACCTTCACATTAAAATCTCATCAACTTCCCATCTCCCTGTCTACTTCCCTCCCTTCTCTATCTGGCCTTCATCTCTGTTCCCCTCTGTTTGTCTTTTCTGTCAGTTCTGCACTGTAAATGCTTTACTGCATCGTTGTACATCATTCTTCAATAATCACCTGTCCAAATTTATTGTGTTGCTTGTATCTCTTTGAAATACTCCTGTTGCTGGCTGTTGATATGTGTAGCTTGTCTTCTCCTGGCCTCTACATCAGTATTATGATCTGATTTACACTTATACAGTATTTTCTATGCTAATGGTGTTCAGGCAGTGGACATGTAGGAGTATAATTTTGAGTGGACTATATCATATAAAAGCATATTTTAATGAAAAAAAACCTTCTTGATCTTTGTGTTGATTTATTTCTTTATTTTTAAAAAGCCATTGTTCATACTTGCTTACGTTAAAGTGACTTTAATCTGAATATACCTGAGGTAGATATGTTTGTAATGACAGATAAACCTTCTTAATAGTCTGGGATATGTTTCTAATCTGCAGTGCAGACCTGAAGAGTGTCAAACAGAAAATAAAGCACGTAATGACACTTTTCCTCATCAGCCTGTTTCTTTTACATCTAAAGCTGATTTTTAACTTCCATCACAATCTTTTCTCCAGCACTGACAGCATCAGCCTTGGTGTAACTGAACCACCAGCGCTCAGTGGTTGGAGTTGTATGTGCAGTCCATCATTCACCGTCACTCTGACACGATATCATTCCCCTCCTTCGCCACTGCCTCCTCTGCTTCTATCTCTATCCTTCGTCGCTCCTATCGCGCCTCAGTCTCTTATTCTCGCCCCCCTTAATCTCTCACTCTCGTTCTCGCTCGTGCCCTGAGGTCAGAGTGTGCTGTAGACTATTGATATCGTTGCTAAAAATATATGAATCCTCCACCAGCCAGCTAAAAATAGAGTAAGGGACACAGACCACAGGAGACAAAGAAGGAGGGGACAGGAGGAGAACGTGAAGGAGAGGTTACTACACGTTTTTCTGATATTCATCAGTACTGTGGGGTTGAATGAAAGTCCTTATTCAGTCGTTAGTTATCTACTGTGCGATACTGAGGGTAGGTAATCTATCGTTTGTGTTTATTTTCAAAACTCCACACAGCAAATGTGTGAAATTTGGAGTTTTTCACCCTTTCCATCCCTAAAGATACTCACTAATGAGTCCTCAACTTTTTTCTTTCAGCTTCTCTTGGCTGGAAAACGTTATATTTATTATATAGTGATATATAATATTGTATCTTACTGTTCATCGTGTGAGAAAATTATTGCAAAGTTTACCACATGGATGTTATTTATTCCCTTAAAATCATTTTAAAAGATGCGACATCAAGTAATTTATAGAAACTGTATGCTCATGGCAGCTTCTGTGAAGGTTGCTGGGACAGTTTCAAAGAGTTTTAAAGAGTGAGTACAAAAGCAAGTATTTTAAAAAAAAGCCTATATTATTTTCTTTAAATGTGACAACACACCCAGAAAAATTGATGTTAAAAAGGATGAGTGAGTATTACTATACAACAGTTTATACAGTGAAGTGCGATATGACATCACTCCACTCCACCTCTCTCTCTCACACACACATACTCACATATACTCTCTCTCTTTCTCTCTCACTCTCTCTCCCTTCGACACTTTTACCCCCCTGCTCCCGCTACAGTATGTCTCTTTGGTAACCAAAGTAGCTTCCTGAACCGATCCACCGCAGTGCCTGGGACAGACGGAGTGAAAGAGAGAGTGAGGAATTTTAGAGGATGGGTAAGGGGGCTTAAGGGAAAACACACAGAGGAGAGAAGAAGACAGGGAGAGAGAGAGAGAGTAAGGAGGAAAGGGGGAAAAGGAGAGAAGAGAGTGAGAGGAGAGACAAAACCCCAGCAAGCCTCCCTGGTGTGAGGTTTCTTGGCTTACTGACGTGTGCGCACGACTCTCGTGGCACGGTGAGTATTTCCCCCTCTCATTGAATACCTGCATTTATGCGTCTTTTCGTAGGAATTATAATCATGACTCCCCGTTTTGTTTCGTCTTTTTAACCCGACTTAAAATGTACGTGCCTGTGTGACAGCTGTGAAAAAGAGCTGAATTCATAAGTCGTGTTAGCGTAAAGATAGCCGCTCGTGCTCCAGTGAGAGCGCACGCGAGGTGGTGGTGGGGGGCAAAAAATGTTCTTACCTGACAGCTAAGTCGTTGAGCAGCTCTATTTATTTTACCCATTCCGGTTTTTCAACGTGAGTCGCTCACATGTTCCCTGCTCTGTGTTTATCATCTCAAAACTCCGCGTGTGAGTGCGTGTGACAGCTGCGGGGGTGGGGGGCTAAACAAACCCGTATAGATGCTCGTGTGACTGCCTCACTCAGTACTAGGGTGTTCTTTTGCGGGTACGTGAGAGTATAGTGGCAGTGTTTATCTATCCGCTTTGCACCGTGAAAAAAAGAGAAAGAAATGATGCGAGTGGATTGTCAGAGTGTGTCTGCGCAGAAACCACGAGCAAAACCTTCTACTGAGTCATGGTATCCACGTTTAGTTCCCGTGAAGTCTTTTATTTCCTAATGAGTGGTTTCATTGATTTCTCCAGGGCTGACAACCAGTGCACACCTTTTAATTCGGGGTACGCGCACTCCCGTCGTGCGCGTCCATGTCGAGTACTCCTTCCATTTTTTGGGCCAAGGTCTTTTCTCGTGTTAACCTATATCTTCTCGATACACTCCTTCTGTGCCTGTCTTTAAAAGATCTCTCCACACGTAGTTCGTCCCCATCTTCTCTTCTTTCTGCTGCTTTTGCTTTCGTTTTATTTAAGCTGGGTTGTTTCTTTCACATCCTGTCCTCTTTTCCATCACTGCCTCTTTCTTTCTTGGTGTCTCTTTCCTGAGAGGCTTACAGGTGATGTCAGTCTGCAGATTGTGACAGATTGGAGTGAATTAAACCTTTTGTCCCCCTTGTGGCTCCTATCTAACCAATTCAATTGGCTCATTGCTTTCAGGATGAAGGAGCTGAGGGGCTGTGTCAGAGCACTAAAATGGGATTGTTATCACAAATCTAACAGGAAACTGATTTTTTTTTCTCCTTTGCTCTTTTTTTCAAACTCAAACCCAATCTTAAGTCTGAGTGCTTATTTCTTCAAAAGCCACAGCAGCCCTTTAGAAGATTTCTGGCACAATAAATCAGTGCTTTTAATTTTTAATCCCAATCTCTTACGAGCCAGCAGGTCGTATTTTTGTTGTTGTTCTTGGATTTCAGTGTGTTTCTATGACTTTGTGCTCAAAAACAGGGTGCTGTCCGTGGTGCTGAACAAGTCTGAAAACAGGGTGCTGTCCATGGTGCTGAACAAGCCTAGGAGAGCAACTCGGGCACATCAACTCGTTTGTGCAATTTTGCAACTCCACTTTGATTCACACTCGTTTCTGACCACTCTGGCATTTCCTCCAACAAGTTGGGAAGTGTGATTATTTCTTCGTGAGCCCACTCCTCTGTGCCCTCTGATCTTATCTTTATACCTCATCGGTCTATCCCTCCAATCATGCTGTGTCATTTCACGGAGTTTTTGAGTTCACGGTGACCCTGCCTTGAACTCTTTAACTTAAACTTTTCAGCACCAGTCGACTGTTACTGTGGCAGCGGGAGCTGAAATTGGCCTGCCGTGTGATTTAGACCCCCCAGTTAAATAAGGAAAGTTAAGACCAGGGCAGCAGGAAACTCATGTGCAGCTTAAGCCCATGCAAATCCTCAGTTGTTCCCTTGTGTGGCAGATGACAGTGCCAATTTGTATCCTGCCCTTTATGTATCTTGTAAGTTTTCCTTTTAATCTCAGTGGCTTTCCATCTTTCATGTGTTTGTCTGACTGGACTTTTTGTGGTTGTGGTTCCTCACTTCTGTCTGCCCCATTAGTAATGCAATCCTTACTTCATCTGCTTCTTTCATCCTTTCAGATGCCCAAACTTGTCATTTCTCAGACTATTTCTCTAATGTGTACCCTCTACCATCACCCAGTTCTGTTCTTACACATCATTATTGTGCCTAGCGCACAAAAGAAACTCTATTCATCCCTGCTGCTGCATAGAAACCGAGGGAACTTAGTGGTCACATCTCCCACAATGGGTGTCCAGATAAGACGAGACCAGGCTTGATCTTTAAGAGTTTGTTCCCCAGTAGACTACTTTTTTTTGTAACCAGACTTCTCAAAGACTCAAAGGTTTGTCATACAAAGAGAGAGCAGAATAATAAAGTGGTTCTCATGTTTTAGTCATTATTTGACATTAAAGTTTCTGTTGTCACAGCCGTCGGAGGTGCACGATAAATGGCCCACGCTGTTAAATTAATTTGCGACCCTGAGCGTTACTTTTTTAAGTCATTATTTTATGCAGTTGTATTGTCGTATGTTTAATAGGTGTGAATAATTGATTTGCAGTTTCTGTGCAGCAAAAAGGGGGTCAGGATTTACAGGGGGTGATGCAAGAAACTGGAGATTTTTATTAATGACCGTGAAACAGTGTAGTGTGAGTTCAAATAAGAGCTCAGAGCAGCAGTGATATGCTGAGGAAAGGCTCAAGCGCACATTTTTCAAACCTTAAAGCAACGTGTTACATCAGCTGAAGAACATGGATGATTCCACTCCCGTCCTCTACTGAAAGAACAAGAGGTTGAAGCTTGAGTTGTTGTTTAAAGAAGTTCTTTTGCTTTCTTTCCAAGCTCCTTAGATTGCCATGACCTGGATGACTGAGAACCTACCCAAATGAGTTGCTACATGTTTACCAAAATTAGATGGTGTAAGGGCGAAAAAGGGGCAGCACGGTGGCACGGTGGTTAGCACTGTTGCCGCACCGCAAGAAGGTCCTGAGTTCAATTCCACCATCAGGCCGGGGTCTTTCTGTGTGGAGTTTGCATGTTCTCCCAGTGTCTGCGTGGGTTCCCTCCGGGTACTCCGGCTTCCTCCCACCGTCCAAAGACATGCAGTTTGTGGGGATAGGTTCATTGGATAATCCAAATTGCCACTAGGTGTGAATGGTTGTCTGTCCTTGTGTGTTAGCCCTGCGACAGACTGGCGACCTGTCAGGGTGTACCCCGCCTCTCGCCCTATGACAGCTGGGATTGGCTCCAGCACCCCCTGCGACCCTGAAAAGGATAAGCGGAAGCGAATGGATGGATGGATGGTAAGGGTGAAAAACCATCCCTGGTGTGGTGAAAATCGACTCTGGTCTCAAGCAAGCTAAGGGTTATATTTTAAAGTGGCTACTTAATTCTAGAGCGCAATGGTTAGCACTGTTGCCTCACAGCAAGAAGGTACTGGGTTCAAATCCACCATCTGGGCCAGGGCCTTTCTGTGTGGAGTTTGCATGTTCTCTCTGGCTTCCTTCCACAG